CAGCTGCAATATGAAGACTCTCATTTAGCGTTCAAAAATGTACTCTCCCAGTCTCTCTCTCACATAATTATTTTTAATTACGAGATTAATTAAGTAATTCAGAGAAGTAAAAATTACTTCCTGCTTAAAAACCTTAGAAGGTGTCCCTCTAGCTCAGGTTAAAGTCTAAGCTCCCTTTATGACATTGAAGACCCCAAACCTGGCTGTACCTCATCTCAGCCTCATTTCCCTCCACTCCCCACAGCCAACCTGGTGCTTCAACCACACTGGTCCCAGCCCCTCCCCTCTACTGTATCTCCAATACCCCTGGCACTTCCGATTGTCTTCCTCAGGCTATTCCCGAGGACTGGAATGCTCTTCTTTCCTCCCAATGCCTCCTCTTTTTTGCCTGGAAATCTCCACTTTTAAGACCCAAGTTAAATGGCACCTCTTGCCTGACCTCTCAAAAATTAATCACTTCATTTGTAACCCACAGTGCTTCATACACACAATCCCTAATAAAAGCCAGACTCCAGAAATTCTCATCAGTTTGATGCTAGTCAGTAAATCATCATGATAATCACTGGAAGAAATAATGGGAAGAGGGTTGAATATAGCTGTACCTCCCCAGGCTAAGTGCAGCCACACATGACAAGGCTGCTTTCTTGGCCTAACCTGGGAGGCAGGTTTTTCAGATCGGAGGGTGGGGGCTGGGTACATAGTGCCCCAGCTCCTGTGTCATGGTCCTCTGCACTTCCGTTTTGCAAGGATGTGCTGATTCAGCAATTAGACGTTTAGTCCTTGCCTTGAGGCATCCCTCGTTTCTGGTGCTGAGTGAACACCAAAATACTTCCTGGACAAGTTCAGAAAATGTATGGATCTTGTCAGACTTTTTAAAAATCGACGCAGCAGCAAGTTGAGGAGGCCCAGAGGATGGAGTGGGGAAATTAATTTTTTATTTCTCTTTGAGGAAGATAGCTATTTTAAATTTGCCAAGTGTGATATATGTTTTCCTTCTTCCATAAATCAACTCTCAGGAATTTTAGATCTATATATTGATCTGCATGGACTGTTGTCCCTTAAGTCTTTCTTCCATTACTCATCGAGTCACTTCCAGGGAAGGATGTTCACGGAGATTATTTCCTCTAATGCTTCTAAAGCTGTTAGCAGACAACCTCGCTTTATGGCCAAAGGCAAACACTCTGCAGGGGCCACCACCTGTGAACACAAAACATACTGAGATCTCCACTGATCCACCCCAATGCCAAGAGGCAAATCCCCTTTCCTAGTGGTCCCACAAGAACAGAACAGAAAGGAAAGCCATAGATGGTATTCCTAGCAGTAGGTACTAAGAGATGCTATACATCAAACTGGACAGTGTCCTGAGAAAGAGAAATAGGGCCATGATCACCCACCGAGTCAGGGTCCTACCCCCAGAAGACAAAGAACTGGGTAAAGACAACTAGATGTGACTCAAGAGTTGCAAGTTGCAGGAAAGGTGTAGCTGGATCTTGTCTTCAGTTACAGAATCTTCCACCTAAATTCTTCACATAATCAGACTGCCTGAAATTGCACCAATTAGAGATCCATGTACAAGATGGTGGCTATTAGTCATTCACACATTGATGTAATTTATATTCAGTCAGTTGTTCTCCCCTTAACACATAACCACAGTCGATTATTTTTCTCTTAACACAGAACCACTAATGGGAGTTTGGAAGCAGGAAGCAGATAGAAAGGAGTAGGAAAAGTTGGCTTTGGAGACTGAGCACTAAGCAGGGAGATGTAGGGCTGGGAATGCCTCAGACAAACTAAGGTTGGCAGGACAGTCCAGTGCAGGAAGAGAAGAGGGGAACAGTGCCTCGCCTTGAAATTTCTGCCCAAAGCGGGAAAGCCCCGCGAGCACCCTACAGTGGACAACCTGGGGTAACCTGTGTAAGCAGGGCTGTGTTCAATACAGCCTCAATATATCCATTAAAATATTGAAATACAGGCTCCTAACTCCACATCTGAAATCATTGGGTCCAGATGTGATCCAGAAATCAGAATTTTTCAGATTTTAGAAAGGCAATACAGTACAGATACCATATAAATAGCTTCACATCAGTTTGAGCTAAATTAGTTATGAAAGAACATGTGGTTTTCAGAGCTTTTTGTATTTCAAAATTGTGGGTAAGAGATTGTATTTCTGTACTAATTGATGAATAACCCACGGGCTCTTCCACCACCCTGGGCCCCCTTTCACAGCCCTCCTATGACCCAGCCACCAAAAGGTATTGCCTGGCGGGGCAGGAGGCCTCTAGCACACTGCTCCAGCACCACACATAGATGAGTCCACACCTTGTGTTGTCTCAGCCTTCAGTGTGCTAAACCTTTCTATGTTTGCCCCTGGGTAGCATTGGAAGCTGGGGATTCTGTGACCACCCACAATCCTGAGAAGAAGCTGTAATTGCAGTAGGAAAAACCTAGGCTTGTAGTCTGAAGGCTGTAGATCAATTTTGTCTCTGCCATTCACTAGCTCTGAGACTTCGGGTAGCCCAGTGATCCCCTCTGAGCCTCAGTTTCCTAATCTGTGAAATGGGAATCTCACACGGTTGTTAGGAGGATTGAGTGAAGTATTTGGGGTTAAAGTGCTTTATACTGCAAATTGCTTATATAAATATAAGATACTATCTTCCTACCCCTACACTGTTAGGAAAATGAAATAAAATGATGTATGTGAATGTGCCTTAAACACTGTCAGTTAAATACAAACGTGGAGTTATATTATTATTGTGGACCTCCCACCACAGAAGAGGGTCTGGCTTCTCAAGGTTGGGAGGGCAGCCTGTGCAGTGGGGGCAAGAAGAGCCTATTCCCCACAAAACCCTCTATCCAACTGCCCATCTCCAGTCCCCTACCCTGCTGTGATCTGGCTCCTTGACAGGGAGCCACCTCAGGGACCTGCCTTTGAAAGGAAACATAGGAGGGGTTGCCAGGGGAAGCAGCCCTCAGGGCATCTGGCACCACCTGTCTCTTCTGAGGGGACCCTCCACTAGCCATAACCCACTGTGGTTCCCGCAGCCCTGGGTAATCAGAACAGTGGGCTCAGACACCAGTCTTACTACTCTGTAGCTCCATCTCCTGAGCAATTCCCTTTAGCTCTCTGAGCCTCAAGAACCACAAGTGCACATTTAGAATAATATTACCTACCTCAGAGGGGAGTCCCTGGGTACCACAAACAGGTTAAGTGCTTGGCTACTAACTGAAAGATTGGTGGTTCAAATCCACCCAGAGGTGCCTTGGAAGAAAGGCCTGGCAATCTACTTCCGAAAGATCACAGCCATTGAAAACCCTATGGAGCGCAGTTCTACTCTGACACACACGGGGTCATCATGAGTTGGAATCGACTCAATGGCAGCTGGCTTACCTCATAGGTTGGTGGAGAGAAATCAGTGAGATACCATACATAGAAACCCTTTGTACACTGTGATGTACAACTCAAATGTGAGGTTATTATTGGCATGGGAAGCTGGGGGGTGTGGTGGTAGCTCAGAAGCAGACGTTTTAATTGTAATGGAACTGAGCTGCTAAAGTTCGCTGGGGAAAACCAGATCCCTCCTTGAGCGGGCTGAGGAAAGCGGGATTCAAAACATCGCAACCATGCAAAGTTCCCTCCTTTGGGCCTGGACGGACAATTACAAGGTACTGTTGAGAGTGAAAGAATGGAATCCTCAGCCCATTGGGCACTTCATGAGTTATCTTCTGTGTTCTGCTCTTTTTTTGCTTAGTTTTTAGTTCTGGGTTTTTCTCAAGTTATAGATTTTACCTTTATGTGTGATGCTGGGCCCTGGAGAGCTAACAGCATGGCATTGTACAGGATTGATGTTGTGTGTTTTAACTGCAAGCAGCTGAGCCCACAGCAAAGATCTAAACTGAATATTCCAGAGCAGTGCTCTAGTGGTGCATGTCTGGGAGTTTGAAGGGGTTTATGATGAAGCTCTGGGCATTGCTGTGCAAGAGACCTCACTCTATCTAGCCAGACCCAACAGCCTGAAATGGAATTGATGTGAACACCTAATCTATCATCTGTGCACTTGAGGGACACATTGCATTTTCTTACTCATGTGTGACTGACTTCTGTTGTTATCTAATTATTCAAACAGGAAGCATGTTTCCAAGGGGGCTTGTTGTGCAAAGCCTTAAAATTCCATGTGTGACAGTGTCAGAATGGTTTTGAGCCAGTGACTATAGTGCAGAGATAAATGGCTGTTAGTTGTTTTCTACTTTTATCTTCACTCTTTTTTAAATCCTAGTATTTCTGTCCTGCTAGAATACTACTTTTTCAGAGATGAAGAGGACATTTCCTGTAGGAAGCAGTGGCCCAAAAATAAAATCCATGATTTCTTTTTTCTTTTCCCAATTTGAATCCCTGAATTAAGAGTATTTTTGACAAAATCTGCTTTTACTGTAACATAGGGATTAAAGAATTTACAACTTTGTTGGAGTCTTATTTGAGATTCAATAGGCTTAATTAACATGCATGGCACAATTTAAATTGTGAGTTATCCTGTAAAGCTGATGCCAGGACAGACAGTTTGAAAATTTAGGAAATACAGAAATCACATCCATCCCAAATAGTCTCCTAGTTCATATATAAAACCTTCTCTTTAATATCTTTTTATTATATGTAGAACTTCCTTCAAGGAGAAAAAATATACATAACACCTGGTAATTATCTCTGTTTAACAATAGCTTCATTAAATAGTCACGCATCTCATATAGAACAATGCAGTACTAATATTCTTAAACTTCAATCTTTAACCAAAGCTTCAGATTATATATAATAAGGATAGAATAAGGTCCTAAATTAATTAGCACCTTCAACCCAGGTTTTAGGTTTACCATCGCAATTACCTGGGATTCCCCCCTGCTTTGGAATTTTGTTGTCACCGTTTTTGTTTAACATTTGACTGAGGCATTGGGGAGGGTGTATGACAATTCTTGGGGAAACAAATTAATGACTTGCATTGTCTCTTCAGACCCAAGGGGCAGGTTCTCCTCGTTCCTCTCCCAGCCACACCATCAGCAGGCCAATCCCCATGCCCATCCGGTCAGCATCCACCTGCTCCACCCCGACGCACACGCCTCAGGACTCTCTCACCGGGGTCGGGGGAGATGTACAAGAGGCTTTTGCACAAAGTAAGTGGCTTTATTTTTTGTTGGGTTCTACTTTCATGTGGAAAATATGTCATTGAGGTGTATTGAATGGTTGCGAGTTATCAGAGCTATACAGAGTATGGTTTCTTAGAAACTCCCTACCCTAATCTCTTCCTCACTTCACTGTCCTACCTTCCTTCTATTGCCCTGCCTCATTGTCCTGTGAGCTTTCGCTAAAAACAGACAAAAACAACAACAAAAAAGAAACCGTTGCCCTCGAGCCAGTTCCAACTCATAAAAGCCGTTTCCATGGAGTCTATTTCGACCTTACAGTACAGCGTAGAACTGCCCCGTAAGGTTTCTAAGGAGCGGCTGATGGATTGGAACTGCCGACCTTCTGGTTAGCTGCCGAGCTCTTAACCACTGCGCCACCAGGACTCTGAGCTTTTGCTAAGGACTGGAAATCCTTCCACTAGTCTCCCAGGAAACTTTATAAATGTAATCTGTTTTAAAATTCTGAACTATTTTCTTATTTTCTACTGTCTTCTCTTTATATTAAACTCCAGACTGAGACTGAACATTCTCAGATCTTTAGTCATGAGGTGAGATAGAAGGACTTTTAGTCATTTTACAGCTTCCGTGTTCTGATGCCCTGAAGAGTTGAATCCTTGCCTCTGTATTTCGGGGCTACAAGGTTGACCTCCATGGTTAGGGGAGGAGCGTAAAGACAGATGGCAGATGACAAACTGCGTTCTCCCACTGACTGCCTCTTCCATTTTCACACTGCTGGGATGCCCCAGGGAACCCTGGTGGCGTAGTGGTTAAGAGCTATGTCTACTAACCAAAAGGTCAGCAGTTCAAATCCACCAGGCGCTCCTTGGAAGCCCTATGGGGCAGTTCTCCTCTGTCGTATAGGGTCACTATGAGTCGGAATCAACTCGATGGCAACGGGTTGGGTTTTTTCCGGTTTGGGGTACCCCAATGCAGTGACTTTATTACTTTGGAAATGTTAATACTTTTTAGAACCTTTTCTTGCCATTACTTTTTAAATTTATTAAGAAAAAAAAAAAGCCTCCTACAGACCCTCACTCGTCCAATCTCATTCCTAGAAGTAAACACTATTGACAGTTTAGTCCTTACCGATTTTTTACTTACATGTACAAGTGTATGTTTATAGACACATATTCTGTATTTTCATACAAATAAGATAAGGAATTGCATTTTGATCTGTAATTTGTATTTTCTGTGAATTAGTAATATATCATGAATATCTTTCCTGGCCTTCAGATATAAATCTAAGGAAAAGACAGACGTATGTGATGATTAGTTTTAAGGCAAAAAGGATCATAAACAAAGTCAAAAGATGAAAAGCAGACTTGAGAAAACCATTTCCAGCAGAGATCAATAAGAAAAAGATATCCCCCAAACAAAACTAGGTGAAAGATAGGAACAGACAGAAGAAGAAATATAAATTGACAGTAAAGATATGACCAGATACTCAATCTCATGAATAATTGTAGAAATACAAATTTTAACAAATGTCACTTTTTGCCTAGCAGATTAAAAATTTTTTTAAATGAATATTGATAATGTATAGGGATAGCAAGATTGTGATGAAATAGACCTTCTCATCCATTGTGTATGGGGGGAAGGGAGTATTAACACATTTTAAAGGGAGAGAATGATAGACCCTTCAGTCTGTTATGAGGGAAAGGGGAGGATTCATGATAGGGCTTTTTCTTCTCAACGCTGAATATAATTCAAGAGTTTTTAATGGAATTTACAAAATAAGTTTTTTTTAATTTTTAGAGAGAGAAAAAAGTCCTTTCCCTAAATCATATCTTAAATAAATTTGCAATATTTTAAATCATTTGAACTCCTATTATAATTAATGTTTTCCCTTCTTTTAATTTTTTAATTTAATTATATTATTATTTTATTTATTATTACTTTCTGAGAAATGACAGAATAGAATAGTTTATAGGCACAAAAAGTTTGTACTACATAAATTCATTTGTACATCAGTTATTTGGAATCTTGAGCCTTTTTTTTCAAAGTTATTGTGGTGATTAGCCCTGTGCACCATCTACACCTTGCCCCACTCCCACGCCAGCCCACAAATAACCCATTTAACCCGTAGTGTACCTAAAACATAGTAATAATCCCTATCTGCTATAAAGAAACATTCTAAGTTTCAATTCCGGGTATCAAACCAAAAAAAAACAAACCCGTTGCTGTCAAGTCAATTCTGACTCATAGCAACCCTATAGGACAGAGTAGAACTGCCCCATAGGGTTTCCAAGGAGTGGCTGGTGGATTTGAACTGTCGACCTTTTGGTTAGCAGCTGAGCTCTTAACTACTGTGCCACCTGGGCTCCAAGACATATATATATGTCATGTCTTGGCAGCAGGAGCAAGAATCTTTGAGCCTTTCCCATACTCTCGGTTATTTGGTACACAGGTTTCCCATTCCTAAAACCAAACCAAACCAGTTGCCACCAAGTTAATTCCAATTCCTGGCAACCCATGTGCGTCAGAGTAGAACTGTTCCATAGGGTTTTCAATGGCTGATTTTTCAGAAGTAGATCACCAGGCCTTCCTTTCAAGGTGCCTCTGGGTAGATTCAAACTTCCAACTTTTTGGTTAGTAGCCAAGCACTTAACCATTTATACCACCCAGTGACTCGGTTTCCCATATCTAAGAGATACCTATAATGGTAGGGTAAGCACTGGGAGCCCTGATAGGAGAAGAGCCTGTGGTTATGAAGATCAGAATCCAATGTGCCCTGCCACTAAGGAGTGGCTGGAAAGATAACAGCAGCTGGGAAGACACAGCTCTTCTGGCAAAACCAGACATCTTATCTGTGTGAGTTTTTCCTAAGTGTGGTGATCATACGTAATGTCTTACCCAGGACCATCCCAGTTTGCCCTGGGTGACACCATCTTCTTAATCTTGCCTCCCTTCTAATGCTCAAAATTGTCCCTGTACACCAATGTTCATTGTAGCATTAATCACAATGGCCAAAAGATGGAAACAACCCAAGTGTCCATCAACAGATGGATGGATAAACAAAATGTGGTATGTCTATACAATTGAGTATTATTTAGTCATAAAGATAAATGAAGTTGTGATACATGCTATGACGTAGCTGAATCTTGAAAACATTATGCTGAGTGAAATAAGTCAGACACAAAAGGACAAATATTGTATGATCTCACTTACATGAAAAATATCTAGAACAGGCAAATGGATAGAGACAAAAGTTTATTAGTGGTTACCAAGGGCTGGGGAGAGGGAAGAATAGGCAGTTATTGCTTAAGGAGAACTGAGTTTCTGTTTAGAGTATTGAAAATATTTGGAAATGGATAGTGGTGTCGGTTGTGCAACATGGTGAATATAGTTGATTTCACTGAAATATAACTTTAAAATGATTAAAATGGCAGGTTTTTTGTTATAAATACTGTACCACAATAATTGTTTTAATTGTCCACCTATCATTAGCCGTCTCATCTGACAGAAGGGTCACTGTCCTAAGAATGGTGTGTTTTGTTTAGGAAAGGAATAAAAGCACTTCTGAGAAGTCTTAAACGTTTTCTTGTTTTAAGATGTCAATGGAAATGTTAACAAGCAATATAATAATTTAGAAAGAAGGAAAATCTTTGATTTTTATTATTATTATTTCTTCATAAGGTTCAAGAAGAAATTTAAGGAACGATTTGCTGGTGGCAGCAGACTCCATAACTAACACCATGTCTTCCCTTGTGAAAGAGCTAAATTCCGGTGAGTTCTTGGCCCCCCTCGGCTGTCTGCTCATCACAGAGGGAGCCATGAATGTGGGGGCCTCTATTGGAAATCTGCTTGTTGTCATATGTAAAAAGACTTATTAAAGGTCTCTGTGACATTTTGTTGGTGTATTCAGATTTTTTAGTGATGTTTATGTTTTGCTGATTAGAAGACTATTAATATGTGCTCAATGCAGAAAGTTAGGAAAATGCAGAAAGTAATAAAGAAAAATATTAAAATCAGTCTGTAATTCTAGGATCCAAAGATAATCTCTGTGAAGTTTTTCATGTGTTTACTTCCTCATATATCTAAAAATCTATGTATAAATTACTATGTAGATATAAAACAGCACTGAAATCCAGGAGTGTGTGTGTGTGTGTGTGTGTGTGTACTTTTGCATCTTGCATTTTATTTAAGCATATGATTTTCCCATGCTGAAAGGTTGGTGGTTCGAGTCCACCCAGAGGCACCTCTGAGGAAAGGCCTGGAGATCTGATTCCAAAAAATCAGCCATTGAAAACCCTATGGAGTGCAGTTCTACTCTGACACACAGAGGGGTCGCCATGAGTCAGAGTCGATTCAGTGGCAACTGGTGCTGGTGGTGACAGATCTTATCCCTTTCGTGCTCCAATTATTTTCTGCTTTGGATTTTTTTGTTGCTACCATGAGTTTTCATTAGTGGAAGTGTGATGAATCATTGAGTGTGTCTGAATTTTTGGTAGGTATGTGGGTTTTTTTTCTTGCCCCCTCTCACAAGCATACCCCAAGTGTGTAGTGGTACATATGAAGTACCACTAATTATACCTCAGAGCCCCCACCAGGATCTATTGATACATATGTGTAACAAATTAAAATGTTCAAAATTTCTATTTTTCCTACAAAAAATTCAGGCACCTCATACAATACCTTGTAAAAACCATAATTTGCAGCACACGCTCACTTCTTTGGTTTCAAAGTGTCATAAAGGCCCCTGCCTTACAGCAGTATGTACTATCAGTGGTACGGCACCTTCCCAATAAAACTTCAGAGGCAGAAAAAGTACTTGGTCCCTAGAGGTACCCGTGAGCACAACAGGGTTATATTGCCATTGCCCTATCTGAAGTATAATCACATTGTTTCTAGATTTTCATGATTACAGTCCTCTGTGATAAACTTATTTGGGCACACATTTTTGCTGGATTTTCTGATTACTCCCTTAGGATACTTACCCAGATGTCATGAGCCAAGATTTTAATTGTACTTCATTGTTTTACATTGATTTGAAAAAGTATTTGTGGACTAGTTTCTGAGGGTATGATTTTAACTAAACACAGTTAGTGGAAATGATGGCTCTCTTGTTGATGAGCATTCTCAGTACGTCACAGTCAGAAGACACAGTATAGTCGAAAGGGTACTTGATTCTTGTATTTTTCAGTTGTTAGTTCAAATATTACCTCCAAGGTTAAATTCTCTCCTGGCTCCCATGTCCCTGTAGGCTTCTGCTGTCTCTCCACCGTACTCCACAGAGCCCTGGAAGACAGGTGGAAGGCAGGGACAGAGACAGGGCCTTGGAACCAGAATGATCTGAATTTGTTGCCTTCCGTGTATTAGCTGTGTGGCCTTGTACAGGGTATTAACCTCTCTGAGCCCCAGATAGGAGCCCTGGTGGCGCAGTGGTTAAGTAATCAGCTGCTAGCCGAAAGGTCGGCAGTTCAAACCCACCCGCTGCTCTGTGGGAGAAAGATGTGGCAGTCTGCTCCCATAAAGATTTACAGCCTTAGAAGCCCTATGCAGCAGTTCTACTCTGTCCTATAGGGTCAGTATGAGTTGGAATTGACTCAACAGCAATGGGTTTTTGAGCCCCAGATCGTTTCTCTCTAAAATGAGACAGTAACACAAGCCTGAGTTGGGCTGACACACAAAGCAAGCATTCTGTAACTAGTAAGTATGTGTGTGTACATGTGGGCGTGTGTATGTTTATGTGTGTGAGTTTATGTGCTTTGGAATCAGAAACATTTGGTTCAGTTCCTAGCTTGGCATTGACGAGTTTTGATACCTTGAGCTGCATTTCCTCCATCCATACAGTGACAGCAGCAATAGTAATCCCAGGCCTCTAGGGTTAAGTGAGGATGAAACGGGATGGCGTATGTGAAGCATGTCGCACAAGGCCTGATTGCTGTAAGTGCCAGGTCCTCCCCCAAACTGTTGAATACCTACTAAATAAAAACGTTTCCATTGAAACAGAAGATCTAATTTTGTGATTCTCATTTGCCAGAGATGTTAAAGTAGTGACAGTTGCATAGTTTTTCTACATCTTCTCCTTACAGTTTTGGAAATATCCAGCATTGCATAATGCTCTGGATGTGTAAAGCATTTTCCTGTACATTTTCTCCTTTTCCTCGTGAACAATAACCATGTGGAAAGAGTAAGGTTGGTGTTATACCTGAGAGGAAGCCCTGGGCAATGCCAGAGTCAGGATTTTAGCCAGACATGTAGCCACAAACAGCCCCACAGCAAGCCAGCTCCCAGGGAAAGCCAACACTTACAATACATGAAGGCAGTTTCCGCTAAAAATAAGGGGACATTATTAACTGTTCTTTGATCTCTGTGCTATATAAATAGCCCTCTGAATTTTCTCATTCACCTTGTGATTTAAGATCATTTACTTCCTAATTACAGTACATTTGCCTCTTTCCATCCTTTCTCTTTTGTTTATATTTCCTCTTTACTAAATTTGTATTTGTTCTTCTCAAGTCATAAAAAGGACAAAATTTGTAATGAACAAGCAATTGCTTTGGCTATTTTTTTCTATTCATATCTCTTTTTCTAGGTATCTTGTTTCTAGGCCTGAATCTCTTGCTCAACCACTCTTATTTCCTGGTTTTTTGTTTTGTTTTGTTTTTAAGTTTAAGATTAGGAGTGTAGATTTTTAAATCTACATTTCTTCATTAAATGTCAGTGGAACTGCCACAATACCTATTCTTCTTTGCCTTCTCCAATACGTATTACCATTGAAAGGGCAAAAAGAAGAATAACTACTACTCCAGAAGTACATCTTCCTCTCTGTTAATATACTTGTTTCAATTATAAGGCTGTTGGAAGCAGCATTTCCTCTTGTTGAAATAAATAAATGAGGATCAGGAAAAAGCCATCTCTGATTGGCATCATGATCCAAAGTGACATGATGCTGAAGTTATTTTCCAGAGTCAAATGTTTTACTTGCTAATTTAGTCTCTGTTAATTTGGAATGTATAGTCCTTTGAATGAGACAAAACTGAAATTTATCTTTGCAAATATCTCCAAAGAAAGATCTTCCAAGAAAATGAATAGGGTAAAATTGAAGAAAATTATTTCTCCTACTCACACCATACAGAGTTTTAAACATCTTTATAGCATAAATATGCAAATAAATATGTTACCAATTAATAAATCTCTGATATTCCTTAAAACAGACATCACAAAATATTTGTCTAGCAAGACTATGGTCATATAGTGAGATTACAACAGCTATAAGAAATAAAATCTGAATATACACACACACACACACAAAAAAAAAAAACCCTAGATTTAAATTTCTTAAAGCCTCTATAATTAGAATTAAATTAATTCAAAATTGTTGCTGTTACTTTAAATTAAGAATTACCAAATAGGATAAAATGACAGTAGTTAATACATTATGAATAATGAATAATGGTATATACCCACTGCCCTAGCAAACGATGATAAAAAGTTATTCTTTTTATAGAAATCTCAAGTACTATTGCTTTATTCTCTTATGATTCTTTAAAATATTAAGTAGCATGTTCAGTATTTCCTAACTTAGAGTAATAATTAAGCAAAAGTAACAACGACTTTAATGAAGACTTTTCTAGAAGGGAAAAAATGGAAGTTTTAATAAGTTAAATCAGTTATTAAGAGACAAAAATTTCTCATAACATTTCTAAGGTGTAAAAGAAAGTGCTGTATACCAAGTGATATAGTAATTCATATCAGTGTCAATTCTCATTTAGAAAAAATAAACATTTATTTGACTTATGTACTATAACTGGTAAATATATATGGCATAGGTTATGTTATAATATGCCTAGCCCTTTATTTGCAGGTCATAAAATTCTAACAAGCCATTCTTTATTTCTTCAATTCTACTTGATAGAGGTGGGGAGTGAAACAGAGAGTAATGTGGATTCTGAATTTGCAAGGACTCAGTTTGAGGATCTGGTTCCATCACCAACCTCTGAAAAGGCTTTTCTCGCACAAATCCACGCCCGAAAACCTGGGTACGTTCACGGTGGAGCCACCACAAGTACCATTCGCAGTGACATGTGAGTATCCTTTGCTTGGAGCTGTTTTCTTAGTAACACAAAGATCTGTTGGGAGCAATAAGAAAACTAAAACACGGTTGCTTAGTCCTATGTTCTAGAATGGGATGATGCCGTTTCCCTGTCTGCCAGAAGAAGTAGAAGCATACAGCCTTTAAATTTAACATTTCTGCTTTTCCTTCTTACAATTTCCAAGGAGTGTCAATAACTTAGGAGCCCTGATTGCGCAGTGCTTAAGAGCTTAGCTGCTAACCAAAAGGTTGGCAGTTTGAATCCACCAACCGCTCCTTGGAAACCATATGCGGCAGTTCTGCTGTGTCCTGTAGGGTCGCTATCAGTTGAAATCGACTTGATGGCAATGGGTATCAATAACTTAAACCAAACACTGGCTTTCGGGAACCTGGTTCGCCCAAGGCACCGTGCTAGATATACACAAAACAATATAACAATTGCTTCCTGCCTTCAAGGAATGAGCCCTGGTGACACAGTGGTTAAGCACTCGACTGCTAACCAACCCACCAGCCCCTCTGCAGGGAGGAAGATGTGGCAGTCTGCTTACTTTGGTAAAGATTACGGCCTTGGAAACCCTATGGTCAGCTCTACTCTGTCCTACAAGTTCGCTATGAGTCGGAATCGACTTGACAGCAACAGGTTTGGTTTTTGTTTTGCCTTCGAGGAACTCACAGACTAGTTCAGGAGATAAGTCATCCTACCCTCTGAATTTACCATCCCGCTGATAATACAATACACACTTGTCTGTACTTAGAGAACCCCATTATGCTGGAGAGACCTCTTTTCAGAACGGGTGTAAACAACACAATATGAGCACTTAGAATTTGAAATAAAGGTCCCTAGGTGGTGCAAAAGGAGCCCTGGTGGTGCAGTGGTTAAATGCTTGGCTCCTAACCAAGAGGTCAGCAGTTTAAATCCACCAGCCACTCCATGGCAGAAAGGCGTGGCAGTCTGCTTCCGTAAAGATTTATAGTCTTGGAAACTTATTGGACAGTTCTACTCTGTCACATGGGGTCACTATGGGTCAAAATCAACTCAACGGCACCTAATAACAACAACTTGTGGTGCAAAGGGTTTGCATTTGACTGCTAATCTAAAAGTTGGTGGTTTGAACCTACCCAGCAGTACAGCAGAAGAAAGCCTGGTGATCTGCTTCTGTTATGATTACTGCCAAAAAACACCCTATGAAGCAGTTCTACTCTGTAATATGTGGGGTCACCATGAGTCAGAATGACTCGACAGCAACTAACAACAACAGAATTGAAATAAGTAAATGTATAAATCTCAAAATAAAGTAATCCAATTTGGGTAACACTGAATAATTAATATTAAATACAACATGTTATAAACCTGACCCTTGAAAGAGTTATTGTGCAAAGCTTTTCACCCTGTTAGGATTCTGTACCTTGACTGAAGCCAGCAGAGTCAGTGATGTCCACACTAGACTTTCTGTGACCCTAGGACAGCTCAGGAACCCTGGTGGCACAATGGTTAAGAGCTCAGCTCCTAACCAAAAAGTCAGCAGTTCAAATCCACTAGCCACTCCTTGGAAACCCTATGGAGCAGTTCTACTCTGTCCTAGACTCACTATGAGTTAGAATCAACTCAGTGGCAACGAGTTTGGCTTTTTTGGTTTGGGACAGCTCAAAGTCGTCAGATGAGGAAACCAAAGCTGAGGAACAAAGGCAAAGCTAGGACAGACCTGCAGACGCAGCTGGGGAGAGAAAAGGGAAAAGAGTAAAAAGAAGGAATGGGCCCTTAGGAAAATGAGACTGACTGTGTGAGAAACGGTGGGCAAAGGCTGGAAAAAGGGATCGTTGAAGACTGAAAAACTGCAGAAGGGTGATAGTGTTGATGTGAAAAGTCCATCAGACTAGTCTAGAAAAATAAACTGCCTGTTTTAAACACCCAAAAGAGAAACTAACCAGAGGCCTTTCTGATGTTTTGACTCTCAACCCATATACTGAGTAAAAGATCAGTAATAATGTGGAATTATAAATAGGCCTGGTTTGAAAGCCAGCTATGAAGGGGCACAGGGTAAGATCAAAACAAAATTGTCATAATATAACTTAAAATGGCTGTGTGCTGCTGCTTTTAATTTTAGTTGGCTTTCTTTTCCTCTCCTCTATAATTTAGGCTTTGTTATTTGTTATTCAAAATGGTGAACTAATTGTCATCTGTTTTGTCTGGTAAATACGTATCTATTTGACTTTTTATAATTAAGGATTTACATGGCGGTTACCTAAAATCTCCTTGTTCCAATCCTGAGATCCAAGACTTGGCTTAAGCTGCCCCACAGCTGGCCCTGGTGTATGAGCAGCAGTACCAAAACACACGCCACAGGAAATGAGGAAGAAACATTCATAAAGGCCTCACAGACCCATTGAGGCTGGTCCCAAACTTCCAGAAATAACAAGAGCGTGTACATGGATATAAATAAACATGAACAATGACATTTAAGTTCCAGCCCAAAAACTTCTATTTGACCAGTCTTTTCATTTCAGAGGATATTTAATATCTGTAAATATCGATACTGTCCCAACATGTACTGTGTTTTACCCCAAGAATATTTTACTGATATCATTTAGGTGGTGAAACTTTGTTCAGTCCCATGAAGAGCTTTACATACACTGGGATAAATAGATGGTGTTACACATTAATGAATGAGGTCATTCTTATTTTCTAGTACAGTTGGACAATTTAAATGGATCATTTAGATTCAGAGATAGTATACATATTAAAGATCAAGAGCTATGGGTTAGAGAAGTAGCCTTTCTGGTATAGACTAGCTAATATTCTGAGACTTGATTCTACTATAAAAAATAAAATGTGTGTTGTGTAGTAACATAAAGAGCATTAAGTTATGAACAAATGTCCTTCATTATGATTTCACTACAAGGCTCATTCTACTTATTCAAAGTGTTCTTTGGTTACATAAAAGAAAGCCCCCACATTGGGAAAATTTTATATCCCCTCAAAAGACAAGCCTGCTTTTTATTAAATTTGAAAAGCATTTAAAAGACCAACCAATCCCTGTAAACCGTAAAAAAAAAAAAAAAAAAAAGATTTCCAATTAGCATCAGACTGCCATAGAAAAATTGCATATGAGAATACCTTGATTGTATATTTCTCCTAACTTCCAAAGTTTTTTTTTTAACCACTTCTTGTAGGTAAAAGAAGCCTACAGGCATGGAAGTGAATTGAACAACTAATGAGGGGGAAAAGTGCCCACAAAACTACAGTCAACCCAGGAATTCCACCCATACTTTTCCGTAAGATTTGCTCCAAACTTCAATCTGTGGTTTATTCCTAGTGTTACAGAAGATGGGGATCCCTATGTGCAGCCCGAGGACGAGAACTATGAAAATGACTCCGTCCGGCAGCTGGAGAACGAGCTCAAGATGGAGGAATACCTGAAACAGAAGCTGCAGGATGAAGCCTATCAGGTACCAGGGAACCAGACCACACACCACCACTCACACCCCAGCCCTCTGAATAGCTGGTCTTTTACATTACTCACAATACTCCCTTTCTGGAGTATTCTGACCATACGCCTTATTCCACGTATTCTAGACAGTGAAAGTTGTAAATGCTTCCCCTAGCTGTCACTCACCTTTGTGTTCTTATAAATTCTGATCTGGAAAGTGAAAAGAGGCTTTGTGGCATTAATAGAAACATAGTGATTCACAGTCCGGACTCCTCCTGGATCATGAAGAAGGATATGTTTTTCCTCATAGATTAAAAAAAAATAGGACAGAAGGAAATTGAATAAGCATAATTATGTCACCTCCCTTGTGAGGGAAGTGGATGCAGTGATCTCTCCCTTGAAGCATTCATCCTCTCTCTCCCTCCGTGCCCGCCTCATGCCACATGTAAACAAGTATGACAGTGACAAACCTCACGAAGAAAGGTGGGGGAACCATAGGCCTCAGGTTTAGCATGGTGTGGATGGATAGATTTTTCAGACATATCGGAGTATATTAACCCATCTGAGAATTCACTGACCATAGTACATGCAATTGAGAACAAATATAATCGTCCATTCATCCTAAAAGTGATGCCGTTATTCCCCAGGGAGATTGTTCTACTGCCTTGTTTGTCTTTCTTGTATGTTTCCTTTTCCTTTAATCCACAGGTGTTTTGTTGGGGCTCTGGGGGTTCAGGGATGTTTGCTTGCTCAGACCTGCTCTTCTCCGGGCCCCATGGTTTATTTCATCATGTCAGGCTTTCTGTCCCAGGGCTGTCTGGCTTTCTCCACTTTCTTAGGTCGGCAGTGACCCTCTTTCTCTGTTAGTGAAGAAAAGAGAAGCCGGGAGAACAAATTACCTTCTACCTCTCATATGTTTATAAAGTAAGCCTTGATATATTTTCCTAAGAAGAATGTAGAAGAGATGGAAGTTGAAACCCACCATCCCACCCCAACAATAGAAAACAAAAGTTTGCTTCTTTGGAGTGTTCCATTCACGTTTGTAGTTTAAGAGTTATAGTTTAGAAGCAACAAAAATGTTGGCCTAGTCATAAAAATACAAAGTAAATAAGAGAGACTATATATGAAAAGGAGTCCCTGGTGGTGCAAACGGTTAATGCATTCAGCCGATAACCAAAAGAGTGGCAATTTGAGTCCACCCAGGGTCACCTCCGAAGAAAGGCCTGGTGATCTACTTCTGAAAAATCAACCCTTGAAAACCCTGTGGAGCACAGTTCTACTCTGACACACATGGGATCTCCATGAGTCAGTTTCAACTCAATGGCAAGTGATTTTATATATGAAAAGCCATGTTCCAATGCTACAGAAACTGTCAAAGTCTCCTGACACAAGACCCATGGAGAGTGCTCTCTCTTTGCAACTTCCATGGCTCGTCCACAGAAGGGAATTGGCCTGGAAGGAAGCTGCCAGAGCGTCTCTGGGAACACTGAGGGATGGCATTCCTACATGGCCTCATTTGGCTTTGCTACACTGAGAGAGAGAGATGTGGCTAAATCATCAACGTTCTGGTTTATGCTGTTAAAGGCACCTGTTAGGCCTCCATCATTGGGCTCATATCAGTTTATGGATTTTGGTGACAGCAGCCTTTGAAATTGTGGAAGTTCTTTTTTTTTTTTTTTTCCCCCCCCAGGGAGGCAGACTTTCACCATTCCATATAAAATATTAGAATTTATTTATTTTAATTAATTAGGAATTTAACCTTTTGTGAGTAAAATGAAGGGAAATTCTGTGCATGACTTAAGATCCACTTGGAGTTTCGCCATCACCTGGTCAATATTAAGCTCCTTCTCTCTCTCCTTTCCCTTCCATGCCCAGTGACTTCAAAGTCCAAGGGCACGGCAGGGGCTGGGAGAATATAAGGGGCCTGTGTCTCCCTACTCAAGACATATGCCCTGGAGAACGTCGAGGTGGTTGCCTTGAGTGCCCCGTAAGCATAAGGTCGTTTGATGGATCGGAATGCTGCCTTCATTCATTGGACTTTCTCTCTCTTTGTGCATGGCTTTCAGCCAAATAATTCACCAGCTTGACTGCATCACAGACTTGACATGTCACCTTTCTTGTTTGTGTCCTTTGTCACCCGCAGGTCAGCTTGCAAGGTTGAATGCAATATCCTTTTATCACTCTCCTCTCAAGTAAGTACCCTCTTATTTAGGAGGAAGGGTGATCACTGTACACTGAATTCTGACAACTTGTAAATTCGCAGTCACTCTCGCTGAGATGTTTCTGTGTGGTCAAATGTCCTCCTTCCCTGCTGATAGCAAAGAATCTTCTCTGTCTAGGGAGCATTTCTTTATAAGCCAGTGAAGATTTAGCAGACATCTTGAGGAGCTGATATTTTTGTTTTATTCATTAGGAAGGTGGGCACAGAAACTTCTCTAACACTAGAGGTGCCCCAGAAATCCTCTATGACTGACATTTTCATAACCACACCACCAATCCTTAGCAGCATCCAAGTTGGCAGCCTCTCTACCACTTGAGAAGGAAAAAACTCCAAGCTTGTTCAGCACCACTAGAGATGGGTCATCTTCCTTAGTCATGCTACACTTAGGGCCCCAAAGATCAAATGTGTGTGCCTTCAGAAGTCAAAGTAAAACTGTGTAACTAAAGAAAACAAAAGAATCAAAACATAGAGGAAACATTCTTCAGCTTTATGTTTTTTGAATAGTTGAGTCGAATCCATTGTAAAATTCAGCAGGATATCAATTAATTTTGAAAATCATTTATATGGCATGTGATCCGCCCCCCGCAAGGATCTACCTAAATACACCTGGTCTAGGACTATCAATGCCCTCTCAATAATTTTTTCAATGCAGAGAGCATGACAGTTGGTTGGCAGGATAACTTTAGTGTAGTGGTCTGAAGCATTGGCTCTGGACTCCAGTAGACCTGGTTTCAAATGTGGGTTCTTCCACCTCCTAGCAGCATAACCTTGGGCAAATTATTAAACCTCTGTGAGCCTCAGTTTCCTCTGTACAACACAGATCATGGCACCCACCTCACAGAGAAGTTGTAATCACTGGTATACTGTTTTTAAAGAGCTTCATGTAGTGACCGAAACGCTACTATTTATTACGAGCATACTGCATTCATGCCTACCTTCATTCAATAACTGGGAGCTGCTGTAGTTATTGTATAAGTATATGGGATCCACTAGGACTCAGAACTAGCTTGTTCTCTCTACTTTTATAAATAAGGCTAGGACTCAGCTCATTTGCAATGAGTTGATACACCTTGGACTATGTTGTCACAGAAGTCTACATGGTTTCTCTGGCTCCAGCTAATGGCCATTTAGATGTCCCCCATTATAGTTCAAAGCATGTACACCTCCCACAGTAATCTGGCTGCACTGGTCCAAGGACTTGTGTCTACTTTAGTTAAACGTCCTTCCCCAGCCATGGAATCCCCTAAGCCCACAGTGACGTTGACAGTAAACTATATCTACTCTGGTTGTTAAATTGAAAAAGGGATGTATATCTCCTAAATGACATATCAATTAGCCACAAATACATTTTAGCTCAAACACTGTTGACCCCCTGTCTCAGGTTAAGATTAAGCAAGAAAAAAATCATAATTGGTATTATGAAACATACTTTATGAGCTGTAGGGTTCTTTTGGTGTGAAAGGAGGGATTGTGTTGACCACCTTCTATTCTCCCTCCTCTGGGTCTGAGAATGCTACACCACATGCTCTCTGATTCAGTATGATTAGAGTGAAACAATTCCCAGGAGCTGTTTCTGAAAATACTCGGTCCAGTTATAACGGACCTAGTCCCAAAGGAGCAAGCTGTTTCCTTTAATAGCATGTTCTTTCTCTTAGCTCCAGCAATGTGATCATTTTTATTCTGTATATTATTTAAACATCAGTAGCTAATTCTAAGAAAAATATATTTTTTAAAAAACCAAGAAAACATCCCTGACATGAACCCAGATGAAAAGTCACATTTGATTATTATACCTAACAGCCAGAATTTTCCATACTTTGACAGCGCTTAGACCATTTTTATTTTGTGTTGCAAATTTGGCAGTGAAAATTTTTAAAGTTGTGCCCTCTGACATTTACTGCGTCCTGTACCCTAGCTAGCTGACATTCCACAGGACTCTTAACAGGAACCAGCCTCTCACTAACTCAGCCACTTAGGCAAAACTCATTGAAAACCTTATAGAACACTGCAGAAGCTAGTGGCTTTTCATCCTTGCCACTAGTTCTATCCTACTATAATTTTTCTTAATGGAGCCAAGAAATATAGCTGAAATTTTAGAACAATTTCTATGATTGAAATCTTTTTGTTTGGACTTTCTAACTGTGCTACAAGACCAGAAGTTATCCCAGGGTCCTGGGGATGACTTCATTGACTTGAAGTCAACTAGCCATCCACCGAGGCAAAGCCCTACATGGGTAAGGAGCGGAAGGTGGGACACCAGAGAAATAGAAGACCCATCCTCTGCTCAACAAGAGCTTGAGGTCTATTTGAAAATAAATACACACTTATCAGCACATTAAAAAGAGTGAGTAGAGTTAAACTTGATTTATTGTTTTTCAACTAGCCACTTTTGAAGAAACAATATATGTAAGGGTTAGTGCTTAAGCGGTAGAGTCCACCAAGACTCCATCTGGGGCCACTCAGATCCTGGGTTTGTCCTTTAACCATCCTCTGGCCACATGGTACACCATTCTCCTTGGCCAGCCACATCCTAATTTCAGATTTAGGGAGATTGGACAATCAAAAGCAGATTTTTTTTTTTAATCAGCTTGACACTGTGATGTTGGGTCAGTGGTCTTATCTCCCTGTCTAAAGGACAGCACAAATGCCCCTGGTTGGGCTGCTTTACCCACCCAGATGCCTTCAAGAGTCAATACAAAGGACTTCCTGGCCTTTCTTTTGTAAGGTCCTAAGACAGTCATTCCTGACCATCACAGGAAGGAAGTAGAGAGTGTATGTGCATGCATGGTCTGTGTGTGTCGGAGGGCTAGGGTGGGGGGATTCCCAATCTTCCTAACCCTAATTTAGAGAACAGTTTTATTCTTTAAAAAAAAATACACATTCCTTATTCCCAGGCAAGCTATAGTCAGATGATGAAAGTAACATGAGAGCTGGTGATGCTGGAGAGTGCTGCACCCACACAGAGGAGAAGACAGCAGCATGGCACCCACCTCATGGAAAAGAGGAACCACCACACGCAGCCGCTCCCGACAAACCCCCACCCCTAAAGATGTGTTCTGCTGACTGTAGTGCAGCCAACGTTTTGTTCTGAGATTTGTAGCTCATAGGTGTGTGTTTTGAGAAGGAAAAAAAAAAAAAAGACTTTTATTTAAAGCTAACTTAACAGCTCCATCTTCTGTAGCCTGGCTCGGTCCTGGTAAAGAACACAGGTTGAACCCCATGCTGCTGTTCTACACGATGGCAGTATTAACACACATTGTCAACCTTTGCACATGATATTGAACCTGTTCAGTTTACAATGACAATATTAATACTGTTTATAGCTAGATGTTTGATTTCTGAATTCTTTTGAGATTTTAGCAAAACCGTTTATTGTACACGGTACATTTTTTTCCACAGCAATTAGAAAAAAACAACCACTTGTAATGAGTCACTCGCCCTGAAGGATTTGTTCCTGAGTGTATAGACTCAGAGTCCTGCAGCCAACAAGGGCCCCTGGCCTGCATGGCCTGCAGCTGACACCAAGTCTCTACAAGCAGTGACTTGAAGCAAACACACCAGGAGAATCCATTCTTTGGGGCATCTTTCCCACTTGGGGTTGTTTTCTTTCAAGATACTCTAACAAATCAGCCATAGAATTTAGTGTAAATATTTTTTTTCCAAATAGATATCATATTCAAAAAAAAAAAGGCAACATTCAAATTATATAGAATCTAGTTTTTAAAATCAGCACAGATCTTCTTAAAACTGTGAACTATGTTTTGAAATACTCGTTACTAAAGCTGTTTATAAACCACAGGTGCCATAAGATCCCCAAATGGACTAAAGTGATCTATGCTCTTCCATGGTCTTGTTTCCTCTCGTTTTAGCTTTAGGGGGCATGTCTTTAATCGCACTGCTCATTCCCGAATTCCCCTATAAGGTTGTTTGGAGGCCTTCAGCTTTAAATGTACAGGCTTAAAGTGCGCTTGCAAACGTTCGCTCTCCTTTTATTTCTGAATGTTTATTGCCTTAGCTGGCCACCTGGTGTTCTGCATGCAGCCTTCTGTGGTCATATGAGAGGAGACAAGCTCTTCTAAGTTAGGTTGGGATTTTGCACTCAGTGAAAAGCCGTTGTGCAAAAGAACCATCAAAGGAAGGAGGATGAAAGACTCTATAGATGGTCCTTTTTAAGGGTCTTCTTAAGGGAGAGGAGCCCTGGTGGCGCAGTGGTTAAGAGCACAGCTGCTAATCAAAAGGTCGGCAGTTTGAATCCACCAACCACTCCTTGGAACCCTATGGGGCAGTTCTACTCTGTCCTATAGGGTCCGATTATAAGTCAGAATAGACTCAATGACAATGGGTTTTTTTTGTTTGTTTGTTTGTGTTTTTAAGGGAGACCTAAAGACCTCCCTTAGGGATTCTGGGGGAAATGGAAAAATAACCTTCTATTTGTTACAAGATTTCATGGGAAAAAAAAAAAACTGCAATGTTTTTGATACATTATGCTTAAATTATGAGCTCCGGAATGCCTGTTTCTCCTTTAAAAGAAAGAACATCATTTTAAGACAGTGGTTCTCAAAGTGTGGTCTCTGGACCAGCAGCATCAGCATCACCTGGGAATTTATTAGAAATGCAAATTCTAGGCCCCACTCCAGGCCTACTGAATTGGAAACTCTGAATGTTGGGCCCAGCGATCTGTGTTTTAATAAACCCTCCAGGTGATTCTGATGCACACTCAAGTTTGAGAATCCCTGTTTTAAAATAAAGTTGTATAATAAAATCTCTGAACAGGCCTTATTTAGAATAAGCAAGAAAGTTTCTGAGTCAACCTGAAAGCTTCAGTGATTAGATTTTGCTTCCAGGGCTGGCAAAGACCTTCTCTGGCCCCCATATATCTACTCCTTAGTTAGTGGGCACCTAGCTGAGAACACAGGTCCTGACCAACATCTTCAAGCTCTCTCCAGAGAGCTATAAGATGGTCACGTCTCTGCATTTGATCAGAAATCATCACCTTGGTGGCCCTTTGGAACAAAGTCACTTGCCTTGGGGATTTTGTTCTTGGTTGGCATTAGTAAGGAGCTCATCCTGCCTCTTGATGGACTCAGTCATAGTTCCTTCCAGAGAACCAGCCTGACAAGTGTACCTGAGCTCAGGCTGACACCAAAGCAGCACAACTGCACAGTTCTCAGATTTCTTTGCACAGATGTATTTTATTGCAGGTTTTGTTGGTGTGTCTTAACATTCATCTCTTTTCCACTGCCCATCCTCTGTGAAACCGTACCTCGCTAGATGGAGCAGGTGGCCACTGGTGCCTCATACTCAGTGCTTAAAACCACTACATCCCAACTACCTACATTGCTGTCAGCTCTAAATCACAGCCAGGGAGTTCCTGAACCTGGAAATCAGATCCCATGATTGGCATTCTGCCGCTGACTGGACTGAGCTGACATACATTGTCAATTTGTGTGTTTGCATCCAAAAGTTTGTGTAAGTTGTGAACCGTTTTGCTGATAACCTTCCCCCTTGTCATAGCTTCCATTGCCAACTCCATCGCACAGTTGTTGATACCATCTTACAAAGCCATTGCAAGGACTCTGGAAACTACTGCCAATGACCAATTTCTGACTAACCAGCCACCTTTTCTTTCTCTTAGCTCCACGTCAGCACTGAGACCAGACTCAAGCACCCCTGTCCTGTAACCAAGACAAAATGGCGTGCGTTGTTTTGGTTTTTTGTGTTTTTTGGTGGGTTTCTTTCTGTGGCTCTCCAAATTTACTTTTGGGGCCTGATCTAAGTGCAAACCCAGCAGGTTTCACCTGTCCATTAGATACAACTATATCTTGCGGTGGTTGTTTCTTGCTTGTTCCACATTGAATTTGCATACCCATCCCCAGAGATGATGGCCTACTATTGAGCACTGGTCTAGCACAGCCAACCTTCCCCCAAAGCACCATGTTAAGAGGGGGAAGGGTGATATCTACTGTATGGGATTCAGGAATCAGTTGTGGTTGGTCAGGATGGAAGTTGGGGTAAGTTTGGTTGGTCAGAGGGAGATGTGCTGGAGATTGTGAAAAATGGATTCTTGAATGATCTACTCTAAGGCAGGGAAGGTTCATTTGTAAGTAGTAATGTGAACTGGATTGCATAAAGAGTGTGGCCTTTGTTGTGATATACTATGTATTTTCTTATATGCATGAGCCAAACTGTTGCATCATAATTTAGCACTGGTGTCTGCTTTTATTTTGATCATCTTTGTCCACCCTTATTAGTTTTTGGCTGTTAACTGTAGATAGACCTTGTAAATACGGCAACCTTTAGTTGCTGCAGTCACCTTGGTTCAAATTCCAAGTAAGGAGCCACAAACAAGAACTCCATTGTGTCCTCAGAAGAAAGGGCATTTTTACTTTTGAACCAAAAACAGAAAGAAAAAAAAAATCAGAAGCGTTACATCTTGAGGCTAATTAACTGTAAGACATTTTTAATTATGTCTACTGTAATTTGACACCATTTGAAATAACCAATTCTGAGACACTAAAGATTTCACAATATTCATTGGTATTGTAACAAAACTACAATTGTATGGTTTTTTTGTATTGCTGTTAAGTATTGTTTTGTGTGTGTTGGAACCTACTGGGGACATGTTATATTTTGAAGTGATTAAACTATTTAATTGTGTGTCTATATTTTGGAATGGAATTATTTCTTCATTAAAAAATGTTTTTAAAAACACTATATCTTGTGTTTTTTATTCCTTTGTTTCAGTGAATCTTTCCTAAAGTCACATGGAATCAGTCCATTCAAAGGAAGAAGACAGGCTACAGCTTGCAGGGTGAAGGCAGGACCCATTGATTGGGTTTTGAGCAACTGAGGCAAAAGAGCTCACCTTTCCCTTCTTAAGGGTTCACAGATTTTTAAAATATTATTCTGTTATTCGTAGAAAGCCTTGTTATAATCAGTCTGGTGGTGAGTGTGATAATACTAATAGCTAACATATTTTGTGCTTACTTTATATCAGACACTGTTCTAAGCACTTTGTTACTTCACTCACCTAATCCTTTGTATTGGTGATTTTGTTTTGTTTGTGCTATAGCTAATAAGAAAGGAGGAGTAGCACCCCTGGAGGTCAATATGGTGAGAGCAACAGGAATCAAATTAAGGGTTTTAAGGAAAGACAGAAACTCAGTGTCAAGAGTCTGCAGCTGTAGTCTCTCTCGCCATTCTCATTCCTCCTCTAAGAACCTTGAAGAGTCTCACGCAATGGAGGATTGTGTGTTTTGTTTGCTCAAGGAGCCAGTTCCATGCAGAACCAATAGCAGAGCCTATGGGTCTGGTCCCACACTTCATACATGCTATCTTTGGGAACGCTGACTTGGAAGGGCAATTCCATTCCAAGTTGAGTCGGAGACCATGAAAATAACACTCATGAGGCACTAGAGAAGGAAATGAAGAGCTCTCCATCAAATGCAGAGGATAAATCCTGCACTTTTCACTCCCCGTTGAAGGTGGCAGAGAAGGGCATGGCCATCTGTGCCCGTCCAAGTTTCTTTCAGCTACAGCTCAGTGTCCTAGTCTCTCTATAGCTGTCAGGCCACATTTGGCTTCGATTTCCCTAGCTCAGCATTCCCTAAATTTATCTGATTACACCTGAGGAGTTGTTTAATTCTGATTTGGTAGGTCTAGAGTGGGGTCAGGGAATCTGTATTTTTTATTAGCACCTCAGGTATTACTTATGGCCTGGCACATTTTAAGAAATGCTTTTTCCTTGCTATTCAAAATGTGGTCCAGGAACCAGCACCATTGGAATCACCTGGAAGCTATTTATAAATGCCAAATCTCAGGCTCCAAGAAAAATTTGCACTTTATCAAGATCCTCAAGCCATTTGTGTTCACATTAAAATTTCAGGCACTGACCTAGGTCCGGCTTCAATCTGCTCTTCTAGCCCCTGAAGATTAGACTCAGCTGGGTCTTCAGCATATGGAATGACAAGCCAGGAGTGTTCCTTAAACTAAAATAGTGTAGTGCTTCTCAAACTTGTAAAATATTCACTTAAGTCTAGGATAGGGGCCTGAGAATCTGCATTTCAAACAAGTTCTCAGGTGATGCTGATACTGGTCTGAGGACTACACTTTGAAATGCAAGGCTATAGAGTTCTTTTATGTGAAACAAGTTCCAGGGAGCTTATTACTGATAAGGGGCCCTGGCGGTGCAGGATTAAGAGCTCGGCTGCTAACTGAAAGGTAAGTGCTTTGAACCTACCAGCT